GGTCGGCTTATAGGTGAAGAAATACGGTAACATTCGGTCACGGTATGCGTTACTATTCAGAACGTTTGACGTTATCCACTCAAGTGATAGATAATGCTAAATTACCCTGTTATGTGAGCCCGATTTGCAGTCGTATGCTCTAACCCTCTGATCTTCTGGGCAGAGACTGGGTTTCGTAAACTAGCCCGTTACACAACAAAGACAGCGTTTCTTTTTCAATGCTCATTTATTTTTACTACACGAAGAGCTTCGGGTATGATCTTTTATAGCAGATCATTAAGCCCTTTTTCATCTCTATGTTTTTACTAAACTACACGCTTAATTGACGCTAGACGGGTCCGGTCCATTGTTTTACAGTATTCCACATCTACGTGTCATTCTGTCGGCAGTATGTTGGTCAAGAAAGTTTTTCCGTCATCGCTGTTTCAAGCACTTTCCAGCTCTTGACTACAACTTGCTTTTAATAAAGAGCATTGCATCACAAATGATTTGTGACACAATGCTCTTGATTAAAAGCGAATCTTGAGAGTGACAAGCAATTGGTCGCATAACGCAATCCGTAAAAAATGTTAGAGCAGAAGTGATATATCGTCCTTCGTGATGTCCTTAAGAGAGGGAGATAAATAGAAAACTAAGAGAAACTGAAATCGTCCACTATGGTTTAAGTCAAAGTTAAAGATAAATCAAACCGTTTAAGCTTAACGCGCCCTCTCTTAGCCTGAACAGGCTAAAAGTCCGAGATTTCAATTTCTTAGAATGTGTTGGTGGATCGAAAGAATTGTTGTTGATACGTTCTCTACTTGATAAAGAAATCTAGTTAGTTAAAGGGGGCATCTGTTTGCATAAGAACTTGTCTAGCATAAAAATTTTCCTCAAGTTTGCCAAAGTCAGGGGGAAAGGTGGGCAAGGAACATTGTTGTTTGGTGAGTACTGAAAGTTTAAGATTTTTCGTCTCCTTCATTGTCCATGTTTTGCTCTTTGAACAGAAATCGCTTTAAAATAGTTCCGTGACAGAGATGTCGGTCATTTAAAACTACAACACTTTTTTCTTGACAAACAAACAAAAAATCACCACTCCTTGTAAAATTTTCATGCTACAAACGGGTATGGGTTGTCTGACAAGGTGTAAGTTGTGAGCGGCCTCGTCATCAATGGGTGCTTAGAGGGCGTTTCCTCTGAGTTGTGGTCCAAAAGCTTAAAAGCTTAATACAGTCCATAAATAAGAGGAATTTCATCTATTCAAGGTAAACAAATATGTCTGGCAAACTGTAAGTTAAATCTTTGTTCACTCTGTGTGCCTAATCAGTCACAACAAACCAAAGGAATATATGATCAGTTCAGAAAGAGGTACTAGTATTTTTTTTTTGAAAGAGCAAACTTTTAAATTTAGAGACTTGAGAGGCACATTCTACATAAAAGTTTCTACGTAGTTTCTCCCTTCCCGGTTAAGAAGTTGTGAGGGTTAATTGTCTGGTGTCCATAGAGTCAGTTGAAAACTTCACCCGTTTATGTGGAATAGTTTTGTTTCATCGTGTGACGGTTCTTCACTGGCGGCCAAGTGTCTTTTCGTCTCCCGGGTCCAAATCGATGTTTCCCCCATAGGAGGTCCCATCCACTTCCAGCTACAGAATGAAAATACATTGGGAGTCATCCTTAGATGAAAAAAAGGTGTTAAAATTGACTCTCAGATAAGTATTCTGTCGAGAAAGAAGTGATATTAATCGGGGCGAGGGTATCGCGGGTACAAGGCCGTTATAATCCCACGCTGAAGGGATTTGGGTGGGTTAATAGACGGGGGAGAGAAAGAATGTTGGTGACATGAAAAACATGCAGAAATAAGCCAGCTAACTTACGTTTGAGACAAACATTAACTTTGTATAACATAATCCAGCTACAACTGTCAATACAAGGCATATTGCAAACTAGGGATAAGTATGACCTCGAGTTTGTAAATAGATATCGAAACTAAATCTCCTTAAGTCATTTCTGAACGAGGACGTAAGACAGCGGTTCAGAACCGGTGTAAAGTTTTTGTTTGCTCTCAGACGGGCTAGTATGCAGGGCAATATTTGTAGAATTATGATTTTGCGGTGACCGGAATAAAACAGTTACAATCAGATTAGGAATAAAAGAATAGGGTTAGAAAAGAGTTAAACTACCACGGTTGCCTACGTCCACAAGTATGGCTGACATTCTGCTGTCTCCGAACATACCGTAAATATGACCAAAACGTTTCGTCACGTGTAAACAGCAGGCTAACAACAAAAATTGTCAGGCTAAAGTGGTTGTCCAAGGAAATTGTTTATCATGTGTTGACCAACTTATCAAGTTTATTGAAAGGGGAATTAATTGAAGAAAGAAGAGCTTGAGAGAATGGGGAAATGGATCCCCTGAAAAGGCCATAATCCAAATGTCGTTCCTCTCAGGTTGATTTACAGCAAAGTGTCCATTTTTTGCCTAAAGTGAGGGAAATTGCCCGCTGTTCTCACATTTCTGCTTCCTGTCATTCTGAATCAGCTACTTACGTTTCCTAGAGTATATCCTGCGAAGCTAAAGAACCTTTTTTTCTTCTTCTTCCTTGTGTCACTCGGGCATCTTTGACCCTCCTCCACTAGGCGTACCTTCACTTTCGTTATTTCTCCCACATCTTCAAATGGCATAATGTACTCTTCGTCACTGAAAAAGGAAGAATTACATCCATAGATTACTTCTTTTTCTCTCTTAGTCGAAGAGAGAGGGTATGGCCCTTTTTTGCACTGACCTCTGGATCAAAAGGGTCGGGAAAGATTAGTCACTGTAGAGCTACCAATTACCTCTCAGATATTTTAAATCCTAGAAAAATTGACAGATACCTTATTGTGCCTCTCTGCATTCAAGAGCGTAAATGGTTATCAGCAAAAACGTTGAAAGAAACCTACTTTTTTTTCTAAGAGCCGATAATGTTTACTTAGCTCCTTATAGGAGAATTATAACCCAGAAACCATATAATTTTTAGTACTCTCGTTACTTAAAAAGGGTATGTTAAGATATTTACTGGTTAGCGAGCAACGCCGGCATGAAGTCAGCTCGAATGATGGAACCCACCACGCGTGGTTTACCAATAGCCACAGCTTTGGTTATCGCTGAAATAATTTTTTTTGAAATGAAGATCACTTTTCTGTATAGCTCACGTTACAAGGAACGGAAAAACGCTCAAGGATGAAAAAAAGAAGAAAAAAAAAAGATCACGACCGGTTCAAAATGACGCTGCTCGTATTTCAATTCTTAGCACATTTAAATCATTTTTCGGAAGGCCAAATCACTCTTTGGAATCTCAAAACACTGTCAGTGCCATGGTTTCATGTATTCTTTGTAGCGGTGGAGATTAAAAGGACATGGTTTCTGGAGCATACCTCTCCTTTAAAAAGAGGAGATGAATAACATTGTTTCTTACGCTCCCCGTTCCTTTTCATTCTGGATCCGCCCTCCAGATGTGAGATCCCTAAAGCTTGTCACCCCTTTGGTGCCAATCAGTTGTATACAAAGTTCTGCATCAGTTCCAGATCCCCAGCCAGTTCCGGTTTTCAGGTGGAATTTGTGATCTTTGACTGTGAAAGCAACAATTTTTTGTTAAAAGTAACTATACTCAAGCTCGCCTCGAAAATGATTAGCAGATTTCAAACTGGACCGTGGTGCAAGTGTTAGATATCAGGTAAAGTCTACACAAAAAATTCAAAATGGAACCAAGTGTGGTTACCACACTTGTCATGACTAAGTTTCACTCACATTTTTTCCCCCCGTTGCAGTAAAGTTTGTCGATTTTTTTCAAATCGTTGGCATCGAAGTGCGAAGTCGACCCAAGTTTACGGTTTGGATTAGACTTCGTCTCCATAGTGTGTTTTCCGTTTTTGCTAAAGGTGTTTGTATCGTACTGCATGACGCTGTTAAGGTCGTAAGAGACGTCTAGGTTATTCTGACGTCGCTTTTTGAACTCCGTATCATATATACCTGAATAAAAAACAAGTGTGAACATCGACGAATTCGGAAAACAAGCATAGATGATTTCATTGATTTTACATAGCTCCTACGAGGACTTTGGTGGCAAAGGTTTGGGGGCTTGATAAAAGTTCAATGTTACATTGAGAGGATAGAAAGTTTAGCTACAGGAAGATATAGCGCCATACCAGATTTGCAGGAGTTAGAGAGGATTCATTTCCTTTATGTAACACGCAGTAAGGTTGTGCCTTTCCTCTTTGACTGTCAACATTTCCTATTTTATCATAATAAGGACATTTATATCCTACCTTCCTGAAGATTGTCTTTGTAAACGGTAATATAATTGTCGCGATCTTCTCTGGTAAATTCGTGATAGAATCCTAAAAGGTGCATCCACTCGTGACTTACAATCCCCATGTACTCACAACCTGTTCCCAAATTCAACTTTTGAGGCTTGGTGCGGTACCCTATGTCAGTGTAACAGCTGAAAAAGGAATTACGATATGCATGTTAGGCTTGGAGATGCCACTGAAGTCGGCGACGACAGATAATTTAAAGATGACATTTTTAGGTTACCCGTCGTTGTTATTTGTGTAAATTTGTACGTGGCCGTCATCTGCTGTCTCTTGAAAACGGAGACATGTGTCTCGTTCCAACTGATTGGTTACGTCTCCCACCCATTTCCTTACGGCAGCGGGTGGAGCTTAAGATGGAAACAAGAATTTTTTGTTAGCTTTTTTTTCTTTTATAAGCTGTTGTTTGATGGATCAATAATGTATAAAATTATGTTTTGAAGCTTAAATGTATCACACGAATTCCAAATCAAGAATGGGCAATACTAGCATTCTTTTCTCAATCAGCATAGCAACATTTACTATAGGTGATAACATGATTTCGCGTGCAATTTGTCGTTATAAGCACGTGTAAATATTTCAAAGAGAACAAAATTGCACGAATCCGTTAGGCGGGTGCAGTTTGTAGTCTAGGAAAAATTTACAAGTGCTTACTTACAACAAATTGCACAATAAATCATGTTGTTACCTGTTCACGATTTACATGGAGAAAGCATTAAAGAAAGTCAAGACTGATGGAATTTTGACAGCGCCCGCGCGCCATTTGTAATTTGCACTCGAGTTAAAAATTTGCATTCGTGTTAAAAATTTGCATACGTGTTACAACTTTGCACTCGTGTCACATGAAAAATACATTCGTTTTCATCCGATCAGATGCACGTAATTTTTCTTATTTATATTATTAAGCCTATTAAGTATGAAGACCCCTGATTCAGTTCGGTGAATCCGTTAATGATTATCAGTTTTATATCAAAAGATAAAGATTGCTTTTTTCAGTTGTTGTTTAAAGAAAATGCAGGTTAGGGTCAGAGTCACCTTCATTTTTGCGATGTTATGGCAACTGATCAAAAGAGCTCATTTACAGCTTGATTCAAACCTTCTTACAAGTTTTATTTACAGTAATTTCTAGACATATTTCCGTCGTAGGCGAGGGTTAATGTTACACTCCATTTAACTTGACGTTTTTCTGAACCATAAAACGATTAGAAATACAACATTTAGTGTTCATGTAGATCTGTGTTGACATGGCTCAAGGCTGGAGAATGACGGTATAAGAGAACAAAGGAGACAGGGGATGCGAGAAAGTGGACTAAACATGAAATGGATCGACTTATAATCCATTGTGTTTTCAAATTAACTCTGCACTCACAGACAGCTCTTAGCGATCAGGTGGAAACCACTGTGTTAATGCTTGTGGTCTACATTGAGCTACATTTAGCTGTACGTTAATGTTTCGGATTATATATCTTATATATCTATCTGTAATTAGGAATTAATTATTTGTCTTACAGCCACGGTAACTGTAGGTGATCTTGACGATGCGTTTTCCACTTGCGTCTGTGGTAGCTTTCCAGAGATAATTTGAACTCATTACTGCCCCTCTTTTATTCCGGATTTTCTTGTTTCCGTCAAAGGGAAGTAAAGCTGAGCAAAAGAAGAATTCCAAAAGATTTGTTATGTTAGCTCTTTGTAACCCGAAAGGATTAACACGTAACTTCCTCAAACGTTGTGAATACACTATCCAGCCAATTTATCGGCTTGAGAGTATCATTCTGATACAACACTTGCTGGCAGATCAAGTCCTTAAAACATCAAAGCCACACATCGTACATTTCATATTCAAAGGTATGCCAAATCTTGATTGCACACACGAAAATAATTTTGACATCTCTTGACTCTCGTTAGAGCGATGTGACTGGGGACGATAAAACTTTGGGGCGAAATAACCGGGACGCTACTGAGTCGCACCTAGTAATTAGTGCTTTTTACCTGTCACGATCCTATTCAAAACTTCTTTTGAAATTACTCAAAGGAAGAGCGACATAAATCGGCCACAAAACTTAAGAACACATTTTGTCTGGGAGAAATGACC